GCATCGATCGCGATTGTATGCGATTGTCACTAAAGGACGGGGGTGCGATTTTTAACACACTAGAGTGCGCTGCACTAATTTCATGGTAGGAATAAGGGCAAGTTCGGAAGGATCCGCTACTTGCGATGACAAATCTGTCATCACCTCAACAGCGACTCCCCAGCTTCCAAAAGAAAGTAATGAAATAGTATATGACAAAGAATTTTCAAAAACTACAGATAAAAATGAATCCGCAACAGTTACAGATTTACACTCCTAAGACATGACGCCACCATCGTCATCACCCTCTCACACTTGTGACAAAGTTCCGCATAACAGATGAGAAAAAGATACTGGAGTACTGCTGCCAATGAAGCAGTTTATTTTTGAGAGCGACGAACGATACCGCATGTATGGTGATCAACAATTGGCTAGTGATAACACTTTTATGGATAACAACGCAACAACAGCTTGCACACTTTAACAGCACTATCGCATGTTTACTCGTTCCATGTTTTACGATTCAAATTAGCATTTTGTGGCTAATTAGTATTCTTTGACAAAGTTTTGGATGTCCTTTTTTGTGCCTTCAAAGCAAAAGTAGCAGCCGAACGACATAGCTATTTTTTTCATCTTTATCCCGTCAAATTCCTCATTGCATGAAAAGATAGTCACGCCAAGAATTTGTCGGTTTCGCTTCTCAAGTACCCTATTTTCAGGTGTAAAGCGCGGGGGATTTTTTTTTAAATTGACCAGCCCAAACAAGCCCAAAGATTTCGTGATCAAAGGACCCTATACCGTGTTGTTGTTATTGCCTGAAAGAATTGTACGGCATAAGGATGGCTTCTTGAAACATAATGAAAAGACTGAGCAGGTCGTTTAAAAATTCGAAAAGGTGCGGCTCATACACCTGGAAATAGGGTAGCTGTGGTTGCTATATAAAATCAAGAGGAAGTGAATATGTTTTCCCATTGCATTCACCTAATTGTCGAGGCAGATGATGCCCGAAATCATTTTTTTTGAAGTCCAAAGGAGAGTAGAACAATTGTTCAATGAGGAAGAATCAAATGCAACGAACGCTCTTTATCATGATGCTATTTCTGCAGCTTTTGATTTTTCTGCAATCATGCAAACGAAAAGATTAATTGCATTATAGAAATTGATAAGAAAGTAATTTGACACATTTACAATAAAAAGCATTGTCAGCTACTTTTGTAGCATTTATGCGGTGGTAAAAACATATGCAGAAGATGGGGATGAGCAATATTTTTGAGAAAAAATATTGGTAGGGAAACATCCTACAGCAGAACGAGCGCTAAAATTTCAAATGAAAAAATACCAAGCAAAGGCGAATTTCGTACGAGTTCGAATGAGAAATGACTATTCTTTAGGCAGTGGCTTCGACAAGATCACAGCCCTCATTTTGTCCTAACTTCGACGACGTCATGAGTCAGGTGCACAGGATATGTAAACACAAAACTGCTATAACAGAAATGTGTATTCTAAAGACTAAAAGAAGATCCACGAATAATGAGATAAGATACTTTGCTTCCTTATGAGCGCAGGGTGGTGGAAGAATGAAAAATGATCCAAACGTGCATTATTTCGTTAGTTTTACTCACCTTGAAACCTATTGTTAGACTCTCTTTGACATAATTCTACCCCTATCACCGTCTTTTGCGTTTGACATAATTGATGATGACAAGTTCTAGCCAGCGAATTATCATGACAAAAGTTTTACAGCTAGGTAGGTTTCGTAACTCTTCAGCATGCAGTTCTATACACTTTGCGGCCAAACTCCTTTGAACTTAGGGCACCAGAGTTCTTAGTGTTCAAAATGAAGGACCACAAGAGATGTAAGAATCTTACCTGTGTGCCAAATAGGGAAAAGTACTCTATAGACCCGAGTGATAGCACAGAAATCAAATGTCCGCGATTATGCTAATTTTTACTATTCCCGTTCACATTACGCAATTGTTCTTTTTGATAGTGCTCAGGAAAGGATATCTCCAAAACTACTCATAGTAAAATCATTTGTCGTCAGAACCACATACTTTGCTAAAAGGCAAACAATATCTTTCTTTCATGTTGCAAAGTGTAAAAATTTTGATATAGATTCGATCTGACAGGATAGTCCTCGGCTAGACGGTTGCCGACTTGGAACTTAATTTTTGTCGTTTGCTGGCTCGATTTCCATTTCAAATCAAATTAGCTGCCTTAGAAGTTATATTGAAAGTTACAGTAAACATGAAGTAGTGCAAAGAATGTGTTTTGTGATTAGTTATTCAGGGGAGCTATAAAGTTTGATATCTGGTGATAACAGAAGAATGCAACAAATTAGCAGAGCCGGTCGTATATTTTTGCAAACCATATAAAAATAATTGTTTGGCCTTGCGTCACAATTGAATGATACAAATTGCAAATCTACAAAATTTCAGCACATCTAACGCGGGAGTTGCGAAAATAATTTTTTAAATGATGGTTGATAACGAATTGCGCCCGAATTAACAAATTTGCAAAGAAGTCCTGGCTGACACATGCAATGGAAAAACACCTTGATAAATGGAATTCTTTCTCCAACGAAGTCCGGAAGCGTTAGAAAAAAGTAGAATGCACCGACTTCCAGACCAGCAAGAGTTGTGTGTCAAACGCCAGAAGGAACTACTAAATACCAAGACACAAGTACAGAAGAAGTTCACGGTGGGAGAAGGACCACAGGCGAAGCACAGCGGCGAACAACAACACCTCGGATACTTGATACTGAAAGATGTAGAATTATGACAGAGTGTAAATGAACGTAGCAGTTGTCGGTGACTCGTCTTGAAAGCATAAGTGAACTTTAGTGCTTTGCTCGGATTAACAACATTTCGCTGGCTTTGCTGTTGCGTAATCGAATTTTTGAAGGCTTCGAAAAATAAGGTTGGTAGACCGAAAATATTCGCAACTATAGCAGGAACGTTATAGAAATTAGAGAGGGGGAAATGTTCAAGAGACTCTTTAGCGGATCCAGGATGTTAAATGAATTCTTGGCTCAAAAAATTGCACCTTTCAGTGATGTAAGAATACCTCTAAAGAAAAATATCTCTCAAACAGATGCCGATTCGGTGACTACTTGAAGATTGTCTATGTTAACCGTGTAAATATTTGCTCATCAGCGCTAACCTAGACATGGATTTAGGGAGCATTGTACGGATTAAATACATTAGCTTCATTAACAAGCCGTTACAGTTTTGAACAGGGGTTGGAAAACTATGTAGCTTAGGAATGTAGCGATGAAAACATGACATTCACTCCACAGTCATGGAAAATAACAATGAGAAAGTGATCGCGGTCCATCTGTGCCGCAGTCGAAGACATGTCATCATTGATTTTTTCTGTTAAGAAAACTTTGATCCCTTTCGTCTATTACTAAACAGTAGTGGAATTCGAAATTTACTCAAAACTGTTTCGAAAACAGAAGTTTGAAGGTCATTTTGAGGCACACACTAGGACAGATAAACTCACAAAGAAGAAGCTGAGCTCGTTTAGCTTATATATGCGATTGTCTCGAATTATTTAACTACTGCAAAAACTAGGAAATGCTAGTGATAAATGATCAAAACAACGCAGATTTCCTCTTGTTTTCCTCCCATTTTGCATGCATCTGCTTTGCTGCACATCCACTTTCTATCATGGCTCGCTTGCAACATTCTCGAGCATTCTTCTAAACAAAACTGCTGGTGGAAGTGAATGATTGAATCACCGTGCAGTGATGAATCGCAGCCATTGTTGTGTATAATCTCCAGTTATGACCTGAAGCATGGGTAAAGACTTAGGCATGTTAAGAATTTTACTTTTCCATGCTTCGGAATGAAATCTTCCCATCTCATAATGAAATTCATTTACGAGTTAAGAAGAACAAATCGCAGACTTACAGTCCATGTAAATATTCAGAGTAAAGAATGTACTGTGTACTCTTCTCATTGCGTGGTATCTTCGAAAAAGTGCGCAGGGTGTTTGATGATACCTTTGTTTGAATTAAAATGCGGCGAAGATTACATAATGATCACGACTGTACGCAGGAACAAAGTATCAAAAAGCTTCTAAAAACTCATAAGATATATCTTTGCAGTTTGCATGGTTCACGATGGCTTATCTTGTGGAAATTTTTAGCTCGTAGGATCTCCTCGCTGAGGAGGAAACAAAAATGAAAATGCAGTACCTAAAGCTGGATGTTAATGGAAGCTAAAGCAATGTGCTGCTGAGCTGCATTTGTGTAAATCGTATTTCTTATCAATGTGTTACTTTTTCAAAATGTTCCAGGTGCTCCTATTGTTTAGCAGGGTATAGGGTGTCCAAAAATTAAGGACACACTTTTCAATCGCTAATAACTCTCTTCCCACTAAGTTCTTTCCTTAGCTTCAAGGAACATCCAATGGAGCAGGCTTCAACTTAAATTTACAGTATAGAATGAATCACCCCACTCTCTTCATTATTGCAGTATTACGGTAGGAACTTTGAGAAAGGTTTTGAGCCATTAATGACTACAGTTTGCGGCAGAATGGATACTCAACGAGCCGAGAACTTTATCGCTCGGCTAAAATGAGTCGCTGACTATGCACATGAAACACTAACCAAAAAACTTTTATGCATAAGTTATTCCAGATAAACCACAATAACGTTTTTAAATAATTTTCGAAATGTGATAAAAGCACTTAAATCGCCTTAGGAACTTGTAAAAAATGATTTAGTGAAATCGGCATGTTTAAAAACTTTTTAGAATTTCTGAAACTTTCTTTTGAAACGGCCTCTTCTATAATGGCGCTGTATGCTGAAAACTCTATCGTAACCCTATAGTAATGAAGAGCGATGAGTGTGATTCGCTCCATACTGAAAATCTAAGTTGAAGCCTACTCTACCGAATGTACTCGAGGTTGAGCAAAAGCTTTGTGGAAAGAGAGCTATAAACGATCAAAAGTGTGTTACTTTTGGGACACCCCGTATTTCCATTCAACACTGAAGGAACTCAAAATTTACTAATTTCCACCAAATAAGATACAAAGTAGACAAAAGTGGCAATCTAGTTCAGTAAACAATGATATTCCAATCACTTCATTTGATTTCAACCTCGCGGGTAAAACCCTCGTATGTATCTAGAATTTCGTACATTTCATCATCGTAAAACTGTGGATTGTAAGCTACGGCCCTTCTGAAGGCAGTGTTTTCGTCGTGGAAGCGAAAGAGTGGGCTCATACTCTGAAAATGGCATCATGATAACCGTAAGATAAAATGTCTTCAAACGAGAAATGCTCAATGAAATAAGTCTCTAATAATCCTACCGAAGTAGCAAGAAAACTTGGACCTTCCTGATTCTGGAGAAGGCAAACTACCTCATCAAACGGAATCGGTGAACTTCTTCCGGAGCACTCAGAACTGTCACCTCTACCGAGGCACCTTAGAAGACGGACTGCAATAGCAAATTCTTTCTCGCACAAGAAAGCAAATTTGACGAATAATTTTTCTGTGGTTAACCACTTACAAAAGCCGGCGATGAAATTTATCGCTCTGAGGACAAACTCAAACATTTCTGCTAATTGAGCCTGGATAAAGAAAAAATTATTTTTGATTGCACAAAGTAGAAGAAGTATGAAGATTACCGCACAGTAGCACCGTTAGCCGTGAAATGTGGAGATGATTCAGGCCTGGGAACATCTTCAATAGCCGATCTGCCTCTTCATGAAAAAACCGTAGATCGAAGCTCTGATAACCTCATCGAAAGAAGCTATAGACTATCAAATGTCGATCAGTTCGTGACCACAAACGAGAACAGAAATCCAACGATGATTCTTCATCAAACCGAAGTTCTAGATCAATTATCCATAGCGAAACTTTCAAATTCCACTTCATCAAGCGTTCGTTCTCATAGAATCTATTGTAGATTATTGCAGACATTTTTAGGTTAATCACATCTATTTGATGTGCATGTCTATTATTATTATTATTTATTACACGGGCTACCCTATATTGACAAAACAACAGAATCAACAAAATGAACACATTCGAACAATAAACGATAAGTTATTAGTAACCACGAATAGTAAAGCGTCCTATCACAAATTCATGGAGGAAATAGATAGCTTCAGGACTGCCTTGAATTGTGAGAATTGAATTCATAGGGAAGCATTCTCTTCCTCATTAGTTTATCAAGATCACTGCTTACCCCAGTCACGAAAAATCTTCTCCTCACATCGCTTTTCGCTCTTGAAACACTATGTTCCTTGGTCCCCCTCTCGTTCGAGAATGCCTTCTTTGGAAAAATTCTAGTGGATCGATCTCATACTCTTTGAATAGTATTTTGTGAGCCGTAATAAGGTAAAACATTCTTCTTCTCAAAGCTAGACTACTTAATCCAAACTTTTTATTCTGCAGTGCCGTTAACTACATATTTCGGCATACTCAAGCCCCTTTGTTCGGATCCAAAATTTTCTAATAAAACTCTCTGCACTTTCTCAAGCGCTCGAATAGAGCTGGGATTGAATATTACGGTGCCGTACTTAAGTAACGATCTAATGTAGATCTTATACGCTCTCATAAGCAGGGAGGTATCACTACTTGATAATGCCTTGAATAAGTTGTGTACGGCTGCATTAACCCTCGACCAATAATTTCACAATGCTTATCAAAAGTAAGATTGCTACAGACCAAAAAGCAGAGAACTCTAATCTGATCAACATAGTCCAAAATTTCTCCGTCTATTTGTTACTGGTAGTCCAAATCGCCTGGACCACTGTGAACAAATTTTTTTTGCGAGAGATTGGCATTCCAGGTTTCGGACCATTCCAAAATGATATAAAGTGCTTGACACTTCGACTCTCGAAACAGTTCAGAAAGTTCCTGAGCATAAATGTTGAAGAGTACTGGGGATAGTACGCCACTCTGCGTCTGTAAGTATATTCCTGGTAATTAACTAGGATAGTAAATGCCCCTCATGTTTGCTTTCGCGCGGGTCATGCGTGTTGTCATGGCAACGAAGTCGGATGAGGTGGCGGAAAGGATGGAAAACATCCTTTTCTTTTTTTCTGGCGAAATTCTGTATGATATAATAGTTTTCATTAATTGTGATCATACTAAAAGCGTTAGAGGGAGACTGCTAACGAACTCTCGGAACTGAAAACATTAGCATCAGACCAGATTCATGGATAAGGCATGGAGAAAAACGATCATGTGACGAATGTGTATGAAATTTCAGCTCAATTTCTCTAAAAATCTCGTTTTGTATATCATACTGTCCTCTAATTTTGCTAACATAACTTATCAGGCTTCAGGATTTTGAAGCAAGATTTTTGATTCAACAGAAGTGTACTTCTTCCTGTTGCCTCATTTTCACTGGAAGAGGATCGGGAGCATTATACGAGATTAAGAAGGTTACCATGATTCATTATTGTTTGTTCAAAGTCTAGTTTGAAAAGAAGAACCACCACAAAATATTCATTTTTAGAGCACTATTTCGCCCAGATTGAATGGAATTTCGTCTCTTTGGAATTGGTCCAGGAGTTCTAATTCTCGTGCTACTATGGGCATCAACGTTTCTCGCTTGCGTTTCTATCGGAAGGACCCATGGAGTGTAAGTTTTTAGAACTGCTTTCAATGAACTTAGTTGCAATTTCCTTAATGGCCTATACTTGAACTAAACCCTTTGCAAAATTGCGTTCTCGGTTTGTACTGAACTTAAAATCGAAGTAAGCTATTTTGACGGAAGTACAAAAAGTTGAATTGCTGGAAACTTTACACTTCATTGCTCTTAAAGGAATCACGCATGTTTTCATCGAGGTTCAGCTGTAGTATGATTCGTGCACGTGTACTCGCTCATATAACATATCCCTATAGTAATAGATAGACATCGACGAAGCCGCACGAAGCCGTATACATTTTTACAAGTTCTAGAACAATTTACTTCCATTTAGATCGGCTATAATCGGACTTAGTGTTGTGGTATCGCTCCTCACTCTGGCGCTCGTATCCTGGCCCATCGAAACTTTGACAGAAGCTGTAGCCGATGTCAAAGAGATCACCCAATTTGATCATCTATTTATACCTCGTTTATTGCTAGTAGTATTCCTTTTGATTGTAATTGTGCTAGTAATTAGTCAATACCTTAGTCGTAGTGTACTCGGTACTACTGCTGCCAGCAGTGTTAAGAATCGCCACAAGCAGATTATTTTCAATGAAAGATACTGATCTTGAGCGCGATTTTATATCTTTGTCTGTACATACAAATGAACCTGTTGTCTTCAAGCTCGTAAACTTGCAAATCATTGCGTTCCTAGTATGGGCTTCCTCTTCTGAGTGGTATACGCTTGAACCTGAGGAACATGTGAACAAGTTTATCTTACAGAAGACTCCATTGATTATTCTCTGTTTGAGGCCCTGGGCATACCTCAATGGCCGCGCATAGTTCACCAGATTTCAGTCGCGACGCGATTTGGCAACAATCCAACAGTCCATGACTCACTGTAAGAACATTTCAAATGTACAGAGGATAGGGCAATTTATCAGTCCTCGTAAGTTATACACACTATGCATGTGCAGTTTTCTAGTGTCGGATATGAAAACTTCTGGCGAATTGCCAAATCGCCTGAATGGCGTGAAGTATGCCCGGCCCTTCAGGCGATTTCAGTCGCGACGCTATTAGTTTCTGAACGTACGAAAAATGGTTTTTATCAGCCTACGGAAGTTGTATATGCTGCGCATCTCGGGTCTGCGGGTTTTGAATTTGAAAACATTGGCAAATTGCCAAATCGCTTGGCGACTGAAATCGCGTGAGGTATGGCCAGGGCCTAACAGGGAATGGTCAGAACTTAATCCAGCCATACCAAACAAGCTATATATCATCTTATAACCTTGAAACGCTAAGCACTCAAATACATGTTTATTACCTGCCGAACGACCGTCTGGAAGGAGTTATAAGCGTTTGAATGTGCGGATTGACAAGCCCGTAGCGCATATATCGCAAAGTAATTTTCAACAACACTTATCTGGGATTTTGATGGATGTGGCCTTTCCTTGTGATAAGAATACCCATAGCCACTATAAATTCGCGCTATCAGACTGGCTTCCATCGAAGTAATTCGTAAAGACTTAAATAATTTCTTATACTTGAACGCTCATAACTCCTTCCTTCCTTCCGTTCTGCAGATAATAAACGTATATTCAGAATAGCCTTCCAATGCGAGTCCGGTGATGTAGTACCTTGTTTGGAATGGCTGAATTGAGTTCCAACTATTCTCTCGTTAGATCCTCCGCCCTCAGCACTCTTTAGCTTCAGTGTTACCAATCTTTCTTTTACATCTAGCTTTTAACAGAATCCTTTTCTGCCGACTCCTCTTAAAATGTCATCCCTATAGAGAGGTCCCGCCCATGTCAAGCTTGTCACTGATGGTGTTCACTGAAGGATTCGCTTCAAGATGTCCACAATTTTACTTCTTATTCAGTTGCTGTACACTTCTTGCGCGATACGCTAGGAATTTGACACCCTATTATGAATGTAAATACAACTCTTGCTTGTTGCGTTCTTGATGCTTGCTTACACAAAACAAGAGTTCGTCCTTATGTTTGCGCTTAGAACATCTCAAATCGTTGATAGAGGTAATCTTACATCTTTTACATCTTCCTGATGAATGACCAACAGTTGAAAAACGGATACAGTAGAGTAGATTTTCCGCTTAATGTGTGCTTGCACTGAAGGTGAAATGCGGTAAAATTTGCGCGTGAACAATTAGCCACGCCAGTAATGCCAACATTTTGCGCGCGCAAATGGCGGGCGCCACAGGCGTAGCTACTTCTTTACGCGCAAATTTTATCGCATTTCACCTTCAGTGCAAGCACACTAATTAAGCGGAAAATCTACTCCACTGTACACATCATTATATGAATTATAGTAATGGGTTTGCTAAACGAAGGATGATTACTGGAAAGCTCAACCCTCTTGCATGGGAGTCTATTTATTTGCAGCGTCCCAGGTGGATCACCACTTTAGCTGCCCAACACTTGCTTCCGAGGACTAGAAAAGAACACTTAGCATTTAAAATAGAATTTCAAATTCTCATAAACTGAGAACCTGCAGAAACCAGACATGCTGCAATGAAGCTCAAGTGGTAGAAGCTCCCTTGCCGGATTTTGTGTATACCTTGAAATCTCACTCGTTGTCGTCCTCAATGGTCAAATTCATAAGTTGTTCAAGAATCTATACAACCCCTAGCATATTCACACAATATTTGTGATACAAAACATGTGTTTTACTATTCAAAATTGGAATGAATAAATGATCTCCTGAATTTTTAAATGTTAAATGTTCCATAATTTACGGACACACTCCAGAGTGACATGCGATTCAGTCACTAAGTTTGTAAAGCTTACAACGTCCTCCATTTCTCATCACCTTTCAGAAAAATTTGCACAAGTTAATAACACCTTTGTGCAAATTTTTCTGAAAGGTGATGAGAAAGTTTCTAAAACGTTGTTTTCGATTTGCCGCTTGGTATCACTGAGAAATGCCTATAGCAGGATTGATCTTGTTTACCGTCCAGCCACTCGTTGTAGACATCATTCAAGGAGAATGGGTTACAGAATTTCTTAACATCCCATAATCTAGAATTGCTGGTTTTATGGTTTACTGGCTAGCATACTAGTTAGTAATCAGCCTGCTCACTTACCCCCCCCCTCCACCCCACTGTGCCAACTCTCAGCCCTGTAGCCTAATCTTTGCAAAAAAATCGATAGAATCGATATCGAGCGATAACGAAAAGTAACCTATGATACAGCCCCACCACACCACACAGTGTATGTATCCAAAGCTTTGACCGGATCGGTTTGAAAATAAAAAATTTCTATTCGGAACATACGTATATACAGACATAAAGACGTACAAGCAGACATTCAGCTTTATATACAAGATGTCTTTCTTTCAATGAGTGATTCTTACAAGGGACAGGTATTTGATACTTCTAGTGCACAAAAATGGAGTGGTACCTTAAGCAACCCACACCACAGTCACCCTAAAAACAATTCCCAAGATATTAGGTTGGTGCAAAAGTAATGCGCGTTTTTTTGCCCCGGTTTCAAGACAACTTTTTTCCATCAATTTTCCTCCTTCAGAAAAGACCTAGCACACGGTCAAAAAGCTCTTTTCATGCTCTTCCCAAAGATGTTTGAAACAAGCTTTTAGCCTCACTCGTTAAAAATATACAGAGCTTTACACAACCGCACTCAAAATCAGAATTTTATTGCATTTACATTTCTGGCCAGAAGTGAAACGCGAATGGCGGCATTTTTTTTGAAAATTTCAGCTACTCTATGTAGTAGAAATTGTCTACATTACTCACATTTGTCATTTTTTTGAGAATTTATTCCATGAGATATCAGCGCCTCAACATGGATAGTCGTTTTGGTCATTCTGTGGCACATAAATTTGTTTTGAAGAACGCAATCGCCAAAACTTTGCTCATTTCTATAAGCATAAAGGTAGGCCTCCTGTCGACAATTTTTGCAAAAACATTAAGCTCTTCAGTATGCAAAAAATCAAAAAACTTCGTGTTTTGGGACTTTGAGGCCTACGAAAAAATGTTGAAAAAAGCTGACAATTTTGGATTTTGATTTTTCTCTTTTCGCAAATTCTCTTTGATTAAGCCCTTCCCATCGTATTTTGTACTACTGACTTACGGCTACAAGATAGACTACTTAGCGTTTTTACTAATAAGTTTTGAAAGATGTTATGACCAGTTAAAAACTTTGCTTATCAGTCGATAATTTTCTGACCGTCTGTGGTATGACCATAGGAGGATGGTGCTGTATTGCGAAAGGTTTGCTGCCTCTGATGGTCTTTATCGCATCAAGAAATATGGATTTTTAAGAAAGTTATAGCAGGTCAATGTGAGAACTCGCAAAACAAAATACTTTTGCACCAACTTGGTACAACGACTGCGACCTCGGGCATGCTTCACGCGATTCTCGACACGATTTGGCAAGATTCCAATCGTTCACATGTCATCGTAAACGCATTCTTGATGTGTGGAAGATTGGACGTTTCGTTGATCTACGAAAGTTGTCCACAGTATACATTTGTAGCCTGCCAATGTAGGCTTTGAAGCTGGCAAAATGCCAGGCGTGGTGACTGAAGCGTGAACTATGCCTGGTCTACGACTATTTATGACGCTATCTTAGACGGAACGAAGTTCAGTCAGTGGTCTCACCTTTTCATTCGTGCAAAATGTTTCTCCGGTGCTTTACTCACTGCAAGTTATGCTTTTGAAAGTTGTACTGTAGCAAACATTCGTCTCCTACTGTGCTTTGGTTTTGCTTTTCTGCTTGCGGTATCTTCACTTGATTTCAGCTAGTGCTAAGCTCTCTATTATCTCTCGTTTTACTTTTAGCTCTTTCCATTTGCTTCAGCTCTATTAGCGTCTCTCTTTCTATGTCACTTTTTCGAATGTTTCGCTTCTAAAATCAACGCATCACTTTACTCTAAGACATAGTAGAAAAAGACGGTAGCAGATTTCACATTGCTGTGCAAGATAGAATTTCTGACAGCAGGAATTTTGCAGAATAGAATTAAAATGATAGAAAGTAGTGCGAGTACTCTCTCTCTCTTTATAAGGTGCAAAATCATAAGATCACTAGAATATCTTTCATTTTAAGACCAGCTGCTTCATCCGTTAACAACTTTTCCTTAGGCGCCATAACGGTCATTTATTTTAACAATAAAAGCGCAACCTATTTCAGATAGTACATATTTGGTCTTGCCTCATAAACATTAGGAATTCAGTACAGTGCAAAGCACTTTATTACCAGCTGCCTTTTTGAGAATTGCTGAATAATAAACCCTACAGATTAACAGCTGGATTAATTTTATTTGAATTTGTAGAATAATAACTTCTTACATACCTTCGGCCAGCGCTCCAAGGTTCGGTGCATTGATACGAGATGCAGTGCCTGCCACTAGAATCTTTTATATTTGTCACATTGTGTTCAATAATTTTGACAAATTTTCTGAAGGACCTACTTGTAATTTTTTTATCTTTCCTCCTTTCAGCTCTTGACAAATTGCAACTCTTTTCTATTATTTAATTTTACTTATTCTTTTTTAGGCTCAAATGGCGCGCATAACACGAGTTCTGCTCTGCTTTTTGTTGGCAGTCGTTAGCCTCATCAGCGCTTTCCCAAAACAACATGTGTTCGGTTTTGGAAAAAGGTATGTGGTTCTAGTTCTATTATGGTTGAAATTGCCCGAACTAATCTTCAGAATAACCGAAGTCGAGAAAAAGCTGCGAAGTTAGTTGCAAACTCAATCTAAATTGGTCTTAACCTTACAGATGTTTGCTGAGACTGCAAAAATTGATACAACTAAAACCTAGTTTTATATGTTCGTCTGACATTGTTTTAGCTCCTAAAAATCTAAATTTGTAATATGATCCATCAACATAGAAATGCAAAACTTTGATGTTACTTGCATTACTTTCAGGGCTGCTGAAACACTTGGAGATCCGGAAATGGACTGGAGCATGTGGAATGGCATATCAAAACGACTAAGTGTTTGTGGCAAAAAAGATGTCTGACATTTCTAGAAAACTTTGATTCAGAATGACAAACTCTTTATGCGTTTCGGAAATGGAGAACCACACAAGCTGCTGGCGATGGGCATCCGAAAACATGACTCAGATGAAGCACCAGCTAGTTAGTGGCAGTTTGGAAACATTTTATTTATGCTGATGAAAATAACTACTCTTCAATCTTCCACTTGATTTCTTCGAGGAAGTTTACTTATTGAGTTCAGATGCGATTCGGGAGCTCTATTGATTGCAAGATCAGAAGTGTTGATCAAAACCATGTTAGAATCCTAAGTGTGTGTCCCCTGTGTTGGAATAAAGCTGATGATCTCTGTTAAATGTAGTTTTCTGCCTTAATTTGAATATTATCTAGGAACGTAGAGCGATGGCTTGAGGTCACTTCTCATGCATGGAGTGGATTTTGTGACTGGTACTTGCGTTTACAGTCGTTGAAAACTTCCGTTTCCAAGCGGAATTTTACTTCTCATGATTATGAAATTTCTTTTAGGGGGGGGGGGGAGAAGAGGTCCAGTCCTCATTCAAAGCGCTCACGACTTTAGGGCTTGAACAGGTGGGTGATCCACTTCCGGTACTTTTCCGTTATCCGGACCCATTTTTTTTCAAAGAGAGATATTGCTTCTATCCTTATACCATATTTTGTCCCAGCTTGACAGGAAGGAGTGTCAACTTTCTGCAACTTGTCAAAAAAAATTGACATGTCACCTACATCTTTAACACGTTTTACCAAGAGTTTGTTTTGCCCTACTCAGTGTGTTCGATCTGTTTTTTTTAGTTAATTTTAACCTCATTTCGAACAAACATTTTCAAAGTGAATGTTGTGATAATAACGGCATACTATGATAGATTAGCAGATTAGACCTCAGGATATAGAAGTGCGCTAGGATTCCTTCATTTGAGAGGCGAAATAGGCAGCAGCAAGGTACTTCAAGGTACTTCATTTATAGTCTTTTCTGGCTAATTCGCATGACGAAAAGGATTTGAAGAGGAGTACCTTTTTAGAACACTGCTAAAGGCAAGCAAGATGTTTCTAGACTAAGTTTATGATTGTTTTGTGCTTAGGTGAAGTTAAACAGCTCTGACATATCACAAATTCTCTTTTATTCCACCGGAAATGATTTCGGAAAGAATATGTCAAAATGGACCAAAACGTATCAACTTGTTCGAAACACGTGGAAAGGGGCAGTCCTCGTAGTATCTACGAAGAATTATTCTTAGACTAAAGAACGTATAATATGAGAGCCTTTGAAAATATCGGTCCGAATAGCGGAAAAGTACCCCCATTTTCCCACAATTCTGCTTATAATAATTTTTCTTGGGAATCCTCAGCTGAAAAGTTCAGAAACAACCTTACTGGTCTAATTTAATATCGGTTTCGGCAAGCTAGAAGAATTCCAAGATGGTGTTTTCATTCAGAGTTTTTAGAGGCAAGCATGGTGCAAATAGCTCACATCATTTCAGAAATTCAGTGCTTTGAAAGGTCCGGAAAAGACGAGTGTGCGATTGTTTGTGCGTAAATCTGTCATTCCATTATTGTGGAAGTACTGCACCAGTTACGCAAATGTGAGATATTCATGATTTTATGGATGTTAAAAATTTCCAAATTCGTTCAACAAACAAAATTTGCATGGTCAACTTTCGTCAAGCTTAAGTAACAGTTTAGTAAAAGCTGTTTCCCTGCCGTATAATTCATAGCCTTCAAACTCGGAAAGGCTGAATACATGAAACTTTCACTCAATCGAAAACATTAGAATATTAATAACGGTCCTCTATTGTCGTTCTTCGGGACTATTTATGATGGTCTAACTGCTGTGAGAATTCCAGAGGTTCCTATTGACACTGTTAGAAACCTGAACCACATACAATCCCGCTCGTGTTTTTTGAAAAAAAAAACGACGCACAGTGACCCGATTTATGCGACATCACCGGAGCGTGACCATATCTCGCTTCAGAGTGGACGAATTCTTAATCCAAGGGCACCGTACGACTTAGCTCGAAGAGATGCATCTTACGTCATCTACCATATTGATGACTGTTTTCTTGCTAACACAAGTCGTTTTTGAAATACGAACGGTATTGCACTACAACAAAAAAAGTCCCCGCATTTGCATCATTCGAAAGTTGTTTGGTAGTAATAAAAGGTGAATTCATCACGCGCAGAAGTTCACAAAACGTTCTTGCTGTTTCCATGCAAAGCAATGGGGAACTTATATCTCAATGCATTATTTTTTGCTCTGTTAGTTTATACGAGTGAATTGCAAGAAAGTCTAATACAAAGGTCAATATCTAGAGAAAACCGGATGTAAAGTGGTCATTTTGATGATGCAAGGTCTAGACCAGCGATCTAGATCGTTGTTGGTGAAATACATGCGTACTGGATCGGACATAATGTGCATCCCATAGTTCATTGTTCCATGATGTAGTGCTGGACTATGAATCACCCGTCAACGTCATATTCGATAGTTCTCTCTCATATTCTGATAGATTAGATTCCAATATTTATAAGTGTTTGGCGCATCCTCGACGGAGCACTGCAATCGCCGAAGAGCTTGTTTTTTTCCCGTTCACCTTCGTCGTCCAATTATTTCATGACGAAGTAATATAGCGCGCGCAGGACAGTTTTTTAAACACGGACAATTCAACTCTGACTCATTCTTCCCCATGAAGAACTTTTATTTTGAATCTTCAATTCGTGTCAACCTCTCTGTTCGCGAAATCGAATCAGCACTTAGACTATATAAGTGAGATTACGTGCCACCTTGCCGGTGTAGCAGCGCAAGAATGGAGCACATGTCCACTTTAATTCTGCTAAGCGTATTCTTCCTTGGAGAATCCACTATTTTACTACGGTAGGTTCTACTTTGGCATTTGATACTCAAAACTCAACTAATTGTCAAGGTGGGGCGGGAACCAGAAAGTGCATCGTGCTGACTTTTCGCACTCCGCTCGCAGAATTATGGAAAATGGTGTAGGAATTTTTGCAAGGTCGTTTATTTTCTCCTTTTTCATTTTGATTTACTGCATATCGGCTCATGCTTTTCTTGTGAACAAGGGGAGAACAAGCGGCCTCGCAAATGTCTATAAGCAGTTCTTCAGAATTTAGAAAGCAGAACGCAAGAAGTCAGCCCAACGCATTTTCTTGCCAGCCTAGCCCCACTGTCTGAGGTGAAAAAGCTCAAGTCCACTTTCATCGTTCAGACTGCAGTCATTCTATTACTTTTTCATATTGCAAACGGATAAAAAATTCGTTGAAAGTTACAACTTTTCATTTAGCTATACAATACCGCTCATAACTTGTGAAAAAGATCACCGCACTGCGCGGGAGTTCGCCGAACTTCGCGTTGCATCGCCATATCTTGCTTCAGAGTGGACAAAGTCTAAATCCAAGAGCAACATTCAATTCAACTCGACAAGATGCATCCTCTGATTTATGAAAGTGCCTGCTTGGGCTCAACAGTCGGTCAAATTTAAGAAATCATTTCAAACTTTTGCTTTGGTAGTTGGATCGTTGTACAATGATCAGGCAACTTGAGATTGACTTGATCAACAACCACCGTGAGTACGAACCTGGAAGGAACCGTTTTTGACCGAGTGTCGTGCTCTAAGGGACTTCTTCTAAAGATGATCTCGTTAAGCTGAGTTGAATAGTGCTTTTGGATTCACACTTCAGAAATCGTCCACTCTGAAATAAGATATGTCGATGCAACGACAAGTTCGTCGAACCCCGGCGCAGTGCAGTGATTTTTTTTTCACGAATTACGAGCGGTAGGGTATGATCCCTGGTTGAAAGTCACACATTTCCAGGACAAAGCGTAGTTCATATGGACGACCCTCGTACATCCAGCCTCCTCCACAGCCTTACGTTCCACCACCACAACCTTACGTACCACCTTCTCCACCACCGCAGCCATATGTACCACCTGCTCCGCCACCACAACCTTACGTACCGCCGTCTCCTCCACCGCAGCCGTACGTACCACCACCAAAGCCATACGTGCCACCACCAAAGCCATACATACCACCGCCAAAGCCATACATACCACCACCAAAGCCATACATTCCCCCAGCTCCTCCAGTTTCCAGCTATGCTAGGCCAAGTGGAGGATACGGAGGTGGTGGTGGTGGCATGGGCGGTGGATACGGAGGTGGTGGCGGTGGCATGGGCGGTGGATACGGAGGTGGTGGCATGGGTGGTGGCGGTGGATACGGTGGTGGTGGCATGGGTGGCATGGGCGGTGGATACGGAGGTGGTGGCATGGGTGGCGGTGGCGGATACGGTGGTGGCATGGGTGGTGGCGGTGGTTACGGTCGTCCCGGCTACATGGATATGGGAATGGCCAAAGCAGCAGCCATGGCCAGTCCGACAGCCGACAGTGTGGAGGAGATTTCTGGAGGATTTCGTGCAGCACGCTTCAAGCGCTAGCTATAGTCGGCGTAGATCAATCAAGACCTCCATTAATTTGTACAAATTATCATCAATAAACCTTATTTTATCCTCCTACAAAACTTTTCTTAGGCCAAATATCAAAGCATAATGTCGGTAAAAGCATAAAATTTATGCAACTCAAATTACAGGCCTTGTCAAATCCAACTGCCCGCGCCTCGCTTTGAACAAGGCGCGCAGCGGCTGAAAACGGGGAGTCCTGGCGCGATATAGGCTATTCACGGGCGACAATGAGCGCGCACCTCTTTTATGCGCATTTTTACGTACTTTCAAAGACACTTTTGACTAAAATATACTGTGCATGTTGAAAACAACATCGTTAGGTTTTGCAAGGCCTGTACTCCACGCTTATTTTTCGTAATGAAGTTTGTCACGAGCAGAGCCATCACAAGGCTAGAAGCACTTCATCATCGATGATTACCACATAGAAAAGGATTCTAAGTGATCATTGCCATTTGAAGATACATGTTCAAATAAAAGCGTCTCAGAATGCTCACTCAAAACATGTCCTCGCCATGACAAGTTTTCTTTTTTGCGGGAATTGAGCATTTTCCATTGCGAATGTCCTTGTTTCGGTCATTGTTATCATCAAATCGATCAAATGCTATGAAAAATTACGTATTGAAGCGTTCAGTACTGCATTAATCATGTATCGACTTACTGTAGGGTCAGTCAGAAAACTAGCATCCTAGTTCTTTGCCCGAATTTTATCTGCAAAGTTGTGCGAAAAACGTGCGTAAATTTTTTAGAAAGTTTTAGCAAATATAGGCTTCATACAACTTTTTGAAGTGTTTGACACATTAAAAACGCTCACAATTACCAATATCACTTCCATCGCAATTAGTAAAATCAATAAATTAGAATGGATGTTAACATTATCACACACTTTGTTTCTAGTCCCCGCAATACATAAAAATAACAACGCCTTCTTGGGTTGATCCTCAAGAAGTACTGGCTTATTGTAGCTTTCCAAAGTTCCAAACTGTATCCGTTTGAGTGAAACTCACCTCTGATCAAGGCTGTCCAACAGACGAAAAACATGAAATTTACCAAATTACCACGTACCATTTGACGGAATTTGTTCGTTGCACTCCGAGCCAGTACTGGTTTGAGTCCTTCAATGAAAAAATCAACGCCCCAACGACTATTCTTACGTGCACGACCTTCATCTTGATCGTAAGGAAGTTAATACCGTTTGGACGGTCGTTTGTATTGAACGATAAATGTAGTCATGCACTCGTTTTAGCCGTAAACTCTCAAGTAGAACTAACGGCGATGGTAGAGCATGACTAGGTATAACGTTGATGCGCAAGTCTTGCACAAAAAATTTGGGCAGTTCGTAATTATTCCAAACTTAAAAGAAATGATCTATTTTGATATGTTTCAGATAGAGAAAGTCTTGCACTTTCCAAAATCACCTAGAACAAAATATTGTCGCCGTATCGCAATGATACAAGCTGATAAAGTTGCTTGAGTTTTTCAAATCTCGCCCACTAAAATTACCAAAACTTCTATTCGGTTGTAAGTTCTGGCTTTTATAGGACATTTTTACGGATAGTTACGAATTTTGAATTTTTTTCGCTCAACTTTTTGCTTCTAACAATAAGAAGGGTACTTGGATACTTGGCACTTGCTCGCAGAGGGGTTTCCACAGGAAATGTATACTGTCTTATAGAGCATAAACGCTTATTCCGAATCTGCTTTTCGGTATCTGCAGAGCGCTTCTGAGAGAGGAGTTACGGGAATTTTAACGCACTTTTCAGAACTGTAGTCTGTGAGCTTGGAGGGGATCATGGTTACTGCCAGGGCGCTTCGTGCAGTTGATACCTTCTTTCTGATAAAGAGTTAGTCATTACTCTTGTCAAGTGCCGGAAGACCTCAACACTCGTTATTACCTTAACCCTTTGGGGCCTGGCGGTGGCAATTGCCAGGGGGCAAAAAATGGGCAGTAACCTACCAGATCGCGCTCAATCTGGTAGGTTAGTGCCCATTTTTTCTAGAACATTGTGTTTTTATTCATATTTCCATTGTAACTGTTGAGTATAGAGTTGTTTAGAAAATAATTGGCAGTTTTTTGTGAGTCCACATGAGTGGACTCTTTGCCATCACCTTCAGAATTGCTGTACACCATTGCCACCAGTGGGCTTTAGTGGAACTCTAATGGAAGGTTTTTTACTCAGAAGACCGACCGCCAACGAGCTTCGACAAGAATCTAGCTGGCATATCTCAACAAATCACCTTGAGAGAAGCTGCGGCCGCATCATTGGCGAAGATGATGTTGACGAGGAGTTCGGAGACATTGGGGAAAGCTAGAAAAGAGCACGAAGTTGAGAAAGGAAAGTTCTCTGGTATCGCGAATGAACCAAAACAAAAAAGACCGGTGTCCAAATCTTCAAATATCAAAAGGAAAACCGCATCCTGAATTTACTAGATAACACATATAATGATATTCTAGAACTCGAAAGCACACACTTAAAGTAATTGTGACTTTCTTGACATGAAAATTATGATCAAAAATAACAGAATATACACAGAACAGTATAACAAAACTGATTACTTTGATTTTATTGTCAATAAATATACTCACGGAAACTCTAATGTTGGTATTAAAATTAAAATAGCTGTGATATACGGTGAGATCCTAAGAATTTACAGAACTTGCACAAGTTTTGATAGCTTTGAACAAAGATTATTGCTCCTAATAAATAAACTTTATACACTTGATTATAGCGCTAATATTATTACCAATGCATTTATAAAATGTCTTACTTTCAATAAATGTAATGTATTTTCCATAAGTATCCGGAACTTCATTCATTCAAAAACTCTAGACATTTCATAAAGTGCATAATTCAAAAACTTGAATTTTATGTCTCAGATCGTGGATCATAATTATTTTGCTCTACCCGAATGGTATATAAACCTTGAGGTATAAATACAGCAACACTCGAGGCTAAACCATTAGTCTTCCATTCAAGCCACTCTTCTCTACTGAAGAGCCTCGGGAGTGGTCTACTCTTCTTGATACCTGTATAGGGGTAGAGGCGAAACAGGCCATACTGTATACTATCTTACTAACATTCATCTATCAATGCACTTACTACCGTTCCAGCAAAACGCGCGAAGCCCAGATTGAGACCTATGAGTGAAATTTGTATGACAGCTTCGGACACTGGCCAATACATGAAGATGGTAACGAACGGCGATGTAAATTAGAATCTTGTTAAGGGCATTCTCGAATCCATTGTGAGAAATGTAAGGTTCATCTTTGCCTAACGAAACATCGAACTTGTATCAGAACATTTCGTTGTAGAGATAAGTAAGGCGTAATAAAAGCTGTTCCACTAAAGCCTGTTGGTGGCAAATGCCACCATTTTGTAATTTCTTACTGTGTTATCGAAAACTTTCCAAACTTAAATGAAGTGTTATTTATGTGCCTATAAATGAAAATCGATAAGGAAAAAAATTTCTTCCTTACGGGGAAAAAGTCAGGTCCGAAAGGGTCAACCAAAACCTTTTCTTGCCCCAAAAAACTGTTATAACTCCCATCCCAAAAGCGCTTTGCAGATACCGAAAGCAAATTCAGAATCAGCGTTCCATGCTCTATAAAACAGTTTACATTTCCTGTGGAAACGCCACTTCGACCAAATATCCTTCCCTGGTAAGTCGAAAATTCTCTAATGTGATAAGGTGCGACTTTTAATAGTTACAAAAAGTAAGCGGTGTGGTTTAAAAAACATATGAACATTTTTGGTACGACTTTTTTGGGTTATTTGTTGCGAGATTTATGTATCAACCTAATACATTGCTTAAAGCCATTCTCAGCCACCTAGGCGTCTGTAGAAGCCTTAGTCAAATCACTTGAGTTGTCAGAGTTCCCTTATAAAGACCTCAAGAAGAGAAAAAGTCAAATAACTTGAGCTCTCGAAGTTTCCTTTGAAAAAAGGCTTCAAGAAAAGAAAACCAAGTCCAAACTTTCATCCAGAATGTACTCGCTCAGAGTCATCAACTTCTTCGCGTACTTTGGTGGAAGAGGAGTTTGGTGACGGGAGCAAGAAATGAAGCGTTTAGGAATGAACCATCTAAAGTAACAACCCGTTTCTTCAAACTGAAAATGCAGCTGCGCTAAAGTGAGATACCACCAGGTAAAGAATTGCGGAAACGGTGCATAATTTTTTGGTACGAATTCCACTCATTTCTTCCTTCGTGAGACATAAGATAGCAATGTCTGAAGCTATTCATAATGTATGGTCTTATGGTAAATCATGATTGCGGATTCTTCTACTCTAAGGAAAGTGTCAATCTAGGTTTAGAACAGGGTGGCATAGCTAGCAACGGGTCAAGCTGGATATCGGTTTTGGCGCGGAAAGCAAAGGGGATATCGTTTTTGTGGCTGAAAAGACATAAAAATTGCGACGCTTTTTCAAGTTGACCTCTCATTTTGTTGAGAGTTCTTTACGTTTAGGGTTTAGGGTCAAAGGAAACTTCGTAAGAAATATTTCAAGACCAAATGGACTTCGTTTCTTTCCCAGGTGCCAGCTCGTGCTGTACCCTGGTTTAGAATCTGTAAAATCATTTGATTTTTCTTATAATGCATAGAAACATTCGCGCCAACCCAATATATGCACAGAGAATCTAAAAGCTGCCAAACTACCATTTTAATCTACGTGTATCAATAATACATACAAAGTATAATTCAACTGCGTTTCATTCAGGAAAAATTTCGTCTTCAAAATTCATGCGAACTCGAAAATGTATGAAAAAGAACGTTTTGAAAGTACTTAGGAACTTTTTTCTCGACGAGTAATTGATAGCTTCAAACTTAAGTTCATTCTAACTTTTGTAATGTTATTACGCAACAAGATCCCTTGGGATTTGTTTGATGAGTCTCATAGTTTTCTTCTTCTTCGCAAGGATTCATATTTTACGCAAATCATTGCTGGTTTCAACTTCAATTAAATTTCAGCCTTTGTAACCAAGGAAGATTTTTTTCAAGGAAAACTAAACTTCATCTAATGAAGCTCTTCATAAGACTCAGAACCAAATGCAGATATAGTTCCAGCGAAAGCTGACCTCCAACCCTAACATAGTCAAGCTTTTCTCTTGTGGCTATGTTCGTGTAGCCGCCCGAATCCAGAACATCTCTGTCATCCACAACTGAGCAAAACCATCAGTGTTTGTTGTATTCCCTTGCGATCGAAGCAGCTTTGATTCATGCTTTTCTCATTCTGCAGGAATTCGCCCAACAAAGCAACACAAAATAAACTCGTCCCCGGAGAGGCGCGCATTCGTAAGATTTTGAATAATCATAATGTACTTTCACGTCAATCTTCAGAATCTAGCATACATATTCCTTTTCATATTCTATGTCTTCGAGAACTAGTATAGTGTGGATAATTCTTCGACAAAGCTCATTTTCATTGCTTTTACAAAAGCTTTTTACTCGCAAGTTATTTACTAGCAGATAATGATCATTCAAGCCGCTAATTTCACATGACCACTAATGGAAGCTGTAGCTAAGGTGGTTTTGAAGGCCTTATTATTTAATGAACAGCGAAAATGTGTTTTGAATCCTCTATCGAAGCTATCCTCGATGTTTTATACATACACTTTACTGTTCGAGTAAACTCGCCTTGACTTACGCAACTTGGCTTTTCTGGCCGAGGTTTTGCAAACAAACGCCTCATTCTGGAAGATATGTCGCAACGCAAAAACATCGTTTTTCAATATAAATCTTCAAACCAACATATATTGGCAGCTTTCAAGCGCAAGCAAGAAATTTCTTTCTGAAATTGCAATTGATAATTGCACATGAGTGAAAACTTGAGCTGCATAGTATACGTTATAAAAGGCAAAGAAATTTAATTTTTTACGTCCTCTTCAAGAATGTCGCAGTCGGACATTTAGACTCACCTTTTTTTCTATTTTTTTTGTAGATGATCACTCTTCTGAGACGCAAGGAACAATTAATTTTTTTTATCATCAACCACATATTACTCACAAGATATCACTAAGCGTGAGTATTTTTGCCGAGAGAACTACAGCATCAGCATTTTCTGCTCAATTTCCTTTCAGTAGCTGCAATTTTACTTGCCGAAATCTCAGCTCGCATACTTTTGATTTAGAAAATTTTCGTTAGATTTAAGTACATTAGATGATAGTAAATTTTGCTATTTACAATATCACTGGTTGTGGTGATTGCTTGATTGCTTACAATATGATCGATCATTGCTTTTTATCCTTGTCTTCTTCATTTGCACGACCAAGGAAATTTCCCTAAATGTAAGTCGTTATTAGAACCTTATCACAGACGCTGCTTGAGTCGCTGTAAATAACAACGATTTGCTCCTTACAGGTGAATTATTCACTTTTTGCGCTCTGTTTTAGTCTGAAAAAAGTTGGAGAATTCCTGCTATTCTTTATCAGTGTTTTTATTTGGAATTTAACACCTGCCTTGGGGCAGCTGAGTCAACTCTATCTTGAAATAATTTAGTACCTTTGCAACAATCAGAATTTTATAACAAAAAACTGCAGTAGGGCGCAAAACTCGGACGGTTTACGGTGGGAGCAATACATAAATTTTTCACGTTCTAGACTATAAAAACATGACTAGAACAACAATATAAATTCAGGGTCCCTTAAATCATGCCGATGAAATTCATTGTTTTGCAACATTCTCACTATTATAGTTTTTCTTTGTGCCCCTTCCAAATAACCACGAAATTTGTAGACATCAAACGTCCATATGGAATTCTATCATTGTTTACCTTCCATGTTGAAATAACCTTCGCTTTGCAGGAATCAAATTCCATCCCTATCTACTAATTCAGAGCTTTCACAACTTTTTTAGCTGCGCTCATCGATTTTCACTAATTTTATTTGTTTTACCGTATCTTTGAGGTTTAGACTGCAAGCGAGGGCGACATCTAACACCTTCAATGCCCCACCACTACTTCCCGCCTTATCGTGAGTGATCGCTAAGACCAGTTGTTCGCCGACACCGTATAGCTTGATAAATGGGACCTTTTATCAGGCGTTAATGGGTAGACAAGAAAAACCCCCCTAGCTTATTCAAAGATGCTCGAGTTCAGAAAATGAGCGGAAAAAAATTTCAGAAGAACAGCAAGAAGCTTGGGCACATGGATGGAAAGAGGATCAAAATTCTGAGCATAAGCCGCGTCCGAAAGTTAGTCTGCTCGAGATGCTTCTGTACATCCTCGACCATCGCAAAGCTAACGAAGCAGCGAGTATGTGAAACAATCCACAATCTTTTATTTGATAGATGGTTTTAGCTTATCTCTGACTTCTTTTTAGGAAACTTTCACATCAGACAGGCTCACAAATCCAAGGAGATGGCTCCAGTTGAGCGAAAAGCGAGAAGAGGAGAATATGTAGCGGAATCGAAATGGAATGGTCAATAAACAACGAAATTTTTGAATCATGAAGTGGTTAATAAATAGGAATCTCTAAATCATGAAGAACCTGAAATTGTTGCAAAGATGTTTACAACGCTTGTGTGAGAATTCCCTCAAAATGGTGTAAATAGCCTGCATTATCACATATCTTTCCTGTTACTGTCTTAAAACACTGAGATCATGAAGCTATTGCGATATCAGGATGTTTTTAAGTTAGCAATTCAAGAAGAACCAGGTAAAACTCAGCTCTTTCCGCCTATATACACATGCTTCCGAACAGGGATTCCTCGCTAGAAGAAGATATCTATGGCTTCCTTTCAGTAGTTTTTACCACCAATAATCTTACTATCCAGTATCAGCTGACAAGAAAAAAGGATAATTTCCAAAATCTTGAAAAGATCTGCTTGACTATTCCGTAAATTCTAGCGATATTTGGCATAAACATTATTCCAATTAATTTGCGGCACTAAGTCGACTGGTACATCAGCTAATGGCATAGCAGACCATTACATCCTTAGAATATGAATCTTTTCGAACAAAAGCTGTCGCTAGAATATGCTAGCGATCCATGTGTAGACAAAAAAAAAGTTGTATAAAAATTTTACTCCTTTCTGAATATCAATATGAATATGCAGAGATCTGAGGTCATTGTGACAGGTCAGTTACTGAAAAACAATTTGCATACAAATCATAAGTATTGCTCATAATAATTACCTAGCATTATGAATCTGTAAACATGGATATCTAATTAGAGAGAAAAGAATGAACAGAGGAGAAGAATGGAAAGCTCTGTGTTGGCCTCACAACAAGAACAAGATCATTTCCTTGTTCAAGTGTATGTGACCAAAAAAAGGAAGACATCCAGTACATTACTAATTAGTAGCTATATAGCACAGAAAAGAAAAAAACAAAAAAAAAACAATGACACATCATTTAATGCATAATCTGTAAATTAAATCTTAGATTTTGACGAAACATATACCCTTTTGTATCGCAGTTTTGTCACCGTTGCACCCATAATGTGATCAAGGATAACCATAAGACTAGCAGCCACCCGGTAGCAGCATCAACAGCTCGTCTAAAAGTGAATATTATGTTTGTTGATTTTTAAAAATGATGATTTTCGAAAGTTGGGCAAATTCACACAGTTAAGAGCTGTGTAATATTCTTGACCAAAATATAATGATAATCTTCACTAACACTGAATTCATGGGAACGCTTGGATAGTCGTTACATAGCTGTCCAACACACCAACACAGTTCCACACTTCGATTACTGGATCGAGCAGCCATATGAGGTGGTAGAAGACGATGTGCTGGCATACGTGAACATGACGTATCTGTAATTTTGAAATCAAATTTATATAATAATTTGCACGTAGTTCAATTCCACATGTCTTCAAACGGCTTTTGGGTGAACTTATGGTAGCCCTAATACTTCTGTCCAGTGATGCTGCTATCAAAAAAGGTTGTAATTTTAGAAGAAAAGTATGAAGATCAAAATCAAGATTTTAAAGAGTACCTTGACCCACCGGTGACCCATGTCGTCCTCAATGGATGAGGGCCTACGATGTTTCTATAAGATACTTATGTACCTATATTTTCCTAGGCACTGTCTTCAGCTAGCCTTGAATCGCTTAGACATTTAAAGTCTTGCTACAGGAGTAAGTGATAGGTTGTTTGTTGTAATCTCTATTTCTGATCAAGAGAAAACCAAAAAAAATTCAGAAGTTTTAAATTATCCGGATGTATATTCTACTTGAAACATTATGTCATCTTATAGTTCTATATAGACTTTTTGCTTTTTTTTGTTTCCACATGCATTATTTAATTCATTAGGAAGGAGAAAAATTACATTATTTTTTAACGATTATTCTAACAGAAGTCCTGAATGAATGGCTTATTCTTTAGAAGCAACCACTTCTACTCACAAACTTAAGACAGCGGAATGTCTAATCTGACTCGCCAAAGTTCAAAATGCCCCGGAAAAGATGACTCAAAGCGCACTTGCAGCATCGAATTGTAAATGTCGGACAGCATCGACTTGAATTCGCATCCCATTCCAACAAATAAATCCGGATAATTACTATCAAGCGCAGCTAAGCGATGAATAAATGAAGCGCATCGACATCAATTTTTCAACAACTATCAGAGCGCATTTTGCGGACCCATCAATGGGAAGAAGGCATGCACGAGTAGGACATACAGATGAGTGCACTAACAAGTTCAAAACGAGCAGTTTTTGACCCTGTTTTGACCTTAGGACAGTGTTGGGCTTTTCTTCCATCGAAAATGCTGATGGCACTTCAAAAATGGCTCGACATATGCGACTTTTCTCGTGTCCATGACGAATAACATTGGCATTGTGGCAAGAAGAATTATGGGTCTCTGGATGGGTGCCAGGGCACAATGCTATCCGTTAAAATGGCTAACGGCCCCTTCTAGCGTTTGTTCGAATTCCTTTGAGCCATTGAAACAATACAGCCATTAGTTTTATATGTCAGAAAAGGCTTTTCGCTGACAGAATTAACAGGATCTTCTAATGAGAGAGAAGCCTTTCACACATTTATGCTTATACTAATGCATCTCCGATATAAAGCGTCGAAAAAGCGCGTAAAATGCAGAAGAAATGTGCTTCGTGAGAAGGAGAATCGTGTAAACATGCTATCTCATGTGAAGATCTCCTGCTAGTAGTATTCTTGAGTTTTGGATGTCTGAAAACTCAAAAGAATATGATATTAGTTATCGAATTCGTGAGCAACAGCAGAGCCTTCCATTTATCGTGTAAAAAATAAAAGCATTAAGATTTTACCCGAGAAATTGAGAAGACTTTTGCTCAGAGATGTAAACTGCGATGATTATTCATAATTAAAGATGAAAGATCAAATGTAAATGACTTTTTACCGTTCCACTAGCAAATTAACATAAACAATACCAACATTTTGTATAGTACACCTAGCAGATTGCAGCTATCGCTCTGTAATTTTTCCCCTTCCGAGGAAAATGAAAGTGAATCCGAAGAATTCTGAGTCACTAGATCATGAAAGAATCATCAGTTGACATCATAAGCTTCAGCTCTTCATATAATGCACATCTGCACCTAATTCTACATCACATTTGCTGAATGAGCTTCTCATAATTCACTAACACTTGACCGAATGCCGAGAGCTGTCAAAAGGTTACCGCAAAGAACTTGCTTTTGAGCAGCTGCGTTTATTATGAAAAAACCCGACTAACGATGATGGTTTGTTTGTTGACACCTGCACTGGAATGTCACGTCAATATAATGCAGTAGTGCTTAGGTGGCTAATGGTGTCAGTTGTGAGAGCCGAAAAAAAAACGAAAAAATAACTTACCAAGAATTGGAGAGCTTTGTGCTCGAGGAGTTGCACCGTATTTGAAAACACTGGCAAAACAGCCACGAATGATGTTGTTACCAATGTGTTGACCTGAAATTTCGATGTAAAATTTTTGGAAAAATTAGTTGATGTTATTTTTTAGTTCGTCGGAGGCCTGAATGCAGGTTGAAGAAAAAAACGATCGTTTGATAAGTTTGTACAGAGCTTCATTATCCTTTCAACAAACAAAGACCTATTTAGGACAGTTTTAAAAAGTAAAAAGGAGGAAAAGATAAAAGAGGATCTCTCAGCTGAAAAAAATCAAACTATGCATTTCATTTTTTTTCAGCTGGAAAAAGATATTCTCACAACGATTTACCTACCCTACTCCTTTCACAAAAAAAGCTAAGGGAAGAGTTTGCTATTTTTGGAATATTTTTTCACGACTTCATCAAAAAAAATTTGGCACATGCACATTTATGTACACTATTATGTATTTTCTGTATGACGGCCAATTCGAAACCTCGCAAGTTTTCTTTTTTCGCAAAAATCCATCTAAAATCCGATCCATCTACCATTATCTTGCTGCCAACCCCCCCCCCCCCTCCCCTCAAAGCGCACCTTTTTTCGCGGCTACTTTGGAGCTGAACACAGCTAGTTAGCAACGCAGTAAGTGCCCTCGGTCTCATGCCTCGTCAATTCGTCGACTTTTCTCGACTCCACGTGAAGAAGATGAAGGAAAACTGCTGAGCATAAGTAAACAACATGAGAAATAATCAACCATATCCTTCGCTAACTCTAACTATCCTAGGCCCATATATTTTTGAGCGAGACGCAGCGAAGGGGATCACTTGCGATTACCCGATTGAATTACTCGCTACACCGCGCCCCAGCCCACCATTCCCGGAGTTGACTAAGCAAATAGCAATTGGACATCTGTCCCCCGAATTCTTGGTTTGTCATTCAGGAACGTGGAGTCTATCCCAATTCCAGTTACGGGTTGGTTGACCTGAAGCTGTGCGCGGTCATCGTACGAAGCTCGCGCCTCTTCGTGCTACTTCTGCCGAAGTATGCACTCGTGAGCTTCGCATATTCAGACATAAGTGGGCACTTCTTAAGCCAGTGAACAACACGATGAAAAGCCGCTCCGACGCAAATCACGCTCGTAGCCTCGTCTTCTGTGAGATTCTTCTCGCTTCTTTACTCAAGCATCGTAGGGCAGACATGGCAATCGTCGTCGTGAAGTATGTGACGCGGAGTGCGGCGAACACGGGGGAGGTCACGATTATGACGCAAATCTTCAGCATCAAATTCACAGGAGTTCAGATTTGGAGGTGAAATAGTTCAGAACCTGGCTCCATTATTATTAAAATTTGCTCACATCACCAAATCATTCCTGTCCTGTTATCATGACATTAAAATACGATATAAAATGACATATTCTATATAGGTGCAAATGTTTCCGTAACCATGATTCCACCAAAAGTTACAAGCCCTTTGCCAGCTATTTCACTTCCATATCTACCATTTCAATCTCCAAGTGGCAGGTGATTTATATACATCAACGCAAATTCTAACAAAAAAGGAGCCAGAAAGGAAAAGTCAATTTATAGACTATTTTTTGAATATCAATTTCGTGCTTTAGAATGTAAGTCTCAAATCTGAGCATTCAAAAATCTCTGCGCTTGTCCGTTCCCTGCTGATTCTTGCAAAGAAATACCCCTGACGCCAAATTTAGAGCACTCTCTCACATAAACGTAATGCTCGCCATCACATGGCTCGATCATCCATGCCGTTTTACAGCTCTACCGCCATATATCCAGTCCAAACACACTCAACGTGCGCTGTCGAGGAGCCCAATCATAATAAAACTGCGAAATGGAAACGAATGCTTGCAGTGCATGAAGGGTACTCGACAAATGGCCCAGTCATCATCGTCAAGAGGTTAAGCGCAATTTCTCGATCAAGCGATATACCTGCCGGCGGAATCGCGGCGATATCGCGCGCGCTGCTTGGCGACTGTTTACCTAGGGTAGTTGTAACGGGTTGCGCGAATTGTAGCACTCGAGTGCTCGGTGTCGTCGCAAACGAGCCAGCAGGCCAAGCGGCAAAAGTGCTCCACCCCGAAGACGTGGACCGACGTCTACACTGGAATTAAGCGGCGTCCAAATCAGATTTGCGGTCGCTTCCAGTCACTGCGTTGATGTCATGATAGACGAACAAGTGGCCAAACTGCCAGCAAATCCAATCCGGGCGTTATCCAACTAATCCATAAATCAGTTCACAACCACTGCAGCGAATTTATAGATGCTGTCGGCCTGCTTTTCGATTGTAATAAGTAATCGATCAAGTTGTCTGCCGTTTGGCGGAATGACCTGATGGCGCGAACATTTAGCGTTTTAAGCTGCCCTCGGCGAGTTTTTGCCGTATTCCCTGCCCTTCTCGGCCCTGTTGACATGCACATGTTCGAACAGCAGAATCGCAGAACCTCAACCGAAAATGCGCAAACAGAGTCGTAAAAAACAGATAATGCGAGAAGTTTGTTGAACGCTCTTGCTTACAAGCCCTTCGGTTCCCATGCAACATGGGAAGACGTATGCTAATTGAGCGCAGAATAGAAGAACATGCATATTTTCATGCGATCATCAAGTCAAGTAGTTTCTACCCCGCGGCTCTTTCCAGGCGCGAATTCGCTGCTTCGTGATTCTTCTAACAGGAAGCTGCCGTTTGTATGTAGCAGAGATATAGAACAAGGAAATGTAGAATAATTTCTCAAGATTTGGTAAGCGTGTTTGAAGTGAGACGTTTTACATTAGCTAGCTCAAGTAGAGCGGTAATGGTGAAGTGCTCAGAAAAGCCTCAGTGACTTTTCCACGAGATTGGAAACGGTAATAAAGCGATATCGACTGAGACTACATTAAAAACAATTTGCTTTTATTCTCAAATATCCTATTCAAAATTTATTGCATTAATCAGCCCAAATTGACCATAATTTGACCGAATTTCTACACTAATTTCAATTTCAAATCCAAAATAATTTCTACAATAATTTTTTGTATGATACGAACTTGTGCTAAATAAACTTCAAACAGCATTTTTTGCATTTTGAAAAAGTAATAGCTACGAAACCCAGCATGATGAGCAGCTCACCTGCCAATATCCTTGGCTCGATTACTGTGACGCACATGGAATTACTACATGGCGTCATTCCAATATTCATTTTTGGCGGGATCTTGAAACAGTGATCAGTGAAGTTCATTGGCCGATAGTAAACCTGTAACATTATATTTACTTCGACAGTAACACAGATATTTTTGTAGAAAGGCTAGGATTTTTTATAGAGAGAAATCCTAGCATCTTGTTGCGTTTTCGGCTCGTAACATGGTTGATTGATGTGCTATAGCGAATAGAACGAAGCATTGTTAATGTTCGGAGGCATTACGGATCAAGAAAATCGCAGAAAAAAAATACTAATTCGTAATTTAGCGACATTTACAGAATTCAATCAAATGACAATGTCATGGAAAATACAAGTGTGATTTAGAAAGTCAGAGACTTCCTCTTTCCGCATCAGATATCAGACGAAAATCTTTTAGAACAGGTCGTTGGCAAAAAGCCATAGAATAGGCAACTGCTTCCGGGCTTGCAGAAATAGACAAAGCTATTACTAGGAGAAAATGAGCACAGAAAGAAGCGAAACTAACTGAGTGCACTGAACTAAGAAACAAATGCATTCGAGACAAGCCCTGGTTCTGGCAAAAGTCTGAGAAATGTTACTGCTCCCACTCTTATAGCACATGTAGCTGAGAAAATGATATGTTGTTGAGTGAAAAGCTTTGGGAAAATGATGAATTGTTGAGTGAAAATCTAAGGACATAGGTAAGAAAATGGAGCTATTGAGGTAAAGGGAAAAGAAGGGAAGTAAGGAGATGTTGCAAGAGTTGTACTGCTATGATAATGCAAGTGCAATCTGAAATGTTACTATTTTCGAAGAACACATGTTCTGCATAGATTTTAGAAAAACCCCTGAATAGACCGAGTGGCTTTGGCAGTTTATGCGACGAACTAAATGGAAATCCAATGGCCGAAAAAGTGGAGACGCCTGGCCGACGACCAAAGGCAACCTTCGAAACTCCGAATTTGCTCCGACTCCCCGTGTGCGTGTGCACGAAAACGTAACCGCAATTGTTGACGTTCTTGCTGAGAGATGAGCGAAATGAACGATGACAAACTGCTCAACTGACAATCATCGGCAACATGAGGGAGTGTGATTGTGAACGATTGACAGATTTTAGCCACCAGGCTGCGGTCAAAAAAACTGCCCAAAACAACCCTTGCTCTGAGAGTTGAGCTGAGGGTGTTGATGGAGGTCGCGAACCTCGCGAACCTCGTGAACCTCGTGACCCTGGAAAAAGGGGCTCGATACACGGCTGGAATCAGCACTGCGCGTGAAGTGATATATAGCCGGAAGCTCTCCAAGGAATACACGCCGTGCCACGCACAATAACTATATCATCTCTATTGACAAATTCAGCGAGTCCAACCCGTAGTGCATAGGGTAGAAAATGTGTCCACAAGCGAATAGAGTGACTCTACGCACAATTCTCAAGCGAAGAGCTTTCGGCTCGTAGATTGCAATATAAGCAGTCGTATAAGCATAACATACGCCAAGTAGGTGGATGTTTTCCTGGTATGTAAATAGCTGGGCTCGGATACGGAAAGGCAACAAACTTTTATTAGGACTTTTAGGGCCGCCGTGAGCAGAAAGGGTAACCTAGTCGCTAATTTAGACATGGAACTCGATTTGGAGCACAGATTTCGCCTAAATGCATTTTACAGGATCATTTTTGATGACGTCTATGTCCCAAAACATGCGAAAAGTGCCAGAAAAAAGGACAAAAGATCTAACAATATAACCTGAAGGTTCATATTGTGTGAGATGTGATACGCAACCGAGAGAGCGGCCTGTTACAACACTACAAAATGTAATTCAATACTAAGAGAGCGTCTTGAACGTGTGTGTGCTGCTTGAGTGAGGGATATCAAACGAGCAACCTATGAGAAGAGCAGCATATTCATGCATAAACACAGATCAGATAACAGAGCCTAGCGAAAAGACGCGAGAAAGCGAGTGGCATAGAAGAAATAGAGATGAATGAAACTGCGTGGATTGCTTTTTCAGCGAAAAGTATTAGCAATTTTCGTGAACGGAATTGAGGAGCAATAATGGCTCACCTCGTCCAGATAAGGCCAGTGTAGCAGGAAGTCCTCGGACATGCAGCTATAGCAGTACTTGGTGGCTGAGCTGAAAATAGCACTGATGATATCGGGCAAGGGATTCCCCGTGGAAATGATCAAAAAGTGCGAGCACAGGTGTTTAGTTAAGACAAATCGATCACCTGAAATCCGTGTACTCGGATGTGAGTGCAGGTCGAGACAGAAAATGAAACAAAGCTAGAATTACGACGAGACGTGACGGTGATGGAGACGAACTACGATGTAGCATCAATGGAACGTCGGCGGCGAGTCCGACGCCAGCCGATGGCCTCGGAAGACCATACAGCGTCGACTGCACGATTCACTATGAAGACGGTAACGGCTATGATGATGGTCCGATCCGAACTGTGCAGTTTCCGGGGTTGCTGGACCAGGACGATTGTGCTTGTGCTTCGCGCTGATGGCCACTACGACGAGACGGACGGGTACACTAGACGAGGCGGGTCGCAATCGGCAGCGGCACGCCCGCGCGGGCCCCGCCCCAATCAAATCCGAATCCCGGCGATAGGGTCCCATAATTCGCAATAACAACATGACGGTCACTCAGCGCACATCCTCGGAGACTTTTTTGGAGTGAAATCTCTGTTACGCTGAGCTCCTGCTAGCAGCGAATGAGAGTCATTCAATAGAAGCCCTCAATGAAGAAATTAAATAACAGTTGGTCACGATGACAGGTTCATAATACTCTGGAGACAAATTGCAAGGTAACCATAGCGTCGCTTGTAAGTCTCAAAAATTTGAATCCTTGAAAAAAATTCTTTGAAATGCTCAGCCATCTTTTCATCGTCAACTATTGGCTTCTGCCAAAACACTTGCACTTATGAAGAAAACAAAGATGATATCAAAGCTGAGTGGCGTCATTTTGGGCACCGATGTCCAAAACCGTCAATTTTTTTTGCCAACGCCGTTTATGAGGTTTCGCGCGGAATCAGTAAACAAATTTCTAACGAACTCATCGTTATAGTTCTAAACACTATTTTCGAAGACCTCAGCCGAACAATAAGGTTACACGGTAAACCACTGACAGCAAAACACCCAAAGGTCATGGTAAGGAAGAAGATTCAGCTTTAGCCTAGTAACGTTTTACAATGCCTGTAAAGGTTCTAATGTTTTTGCATTGCTTATGTTTACAAAATGGCGCAATCATAGCCAAGAAAAGCTTTCGGTCCAGCTTATAACGAGCCAGGCTCCAATAAATGTGAAGGAAACCGCTGATGAACTCTGCAATCGAACTTTTAGCACCTCGCTCTTATAACCACTTAATCTCCAAACTAAAAGGCATTTTCAACCCTAATCTCATGTGCGATTAAGAGCACAACACAAACTTTGAACAATATCCACTCAATTAGCAGTAATGCGCCATAACTAATGAACTTTCCCTAGCGACTGAATGACAAAACGGCTAGGTACATGCAGCTGCATGCGAAATTCAATTTCTCAGATTTAGCTTTTTTCGAATTTTGTTAACAGTCTAAAGTTTCCTTCATATGCTTGAGAGTTCTGAAGTGGGCATACTTGTTAGAGTCAGGATGCAAAAAAAGCAGATCAAATCGAAAGAATTTCAGAGAATGTTCAGCGCTTCCGTTAAATACGATAGCATTTTCCTCACTTCGTCTTTGAAGCAAATGCTTTTGAGCGAATCGCTAGGCCAAAATGCCTAAATAGTGCAGAGATATGCTAGTGACTGTGATGTCTAGAGCACTTTTGTTCAGTTCCCTTGAGAGTTAGGGATCATAAATAGTACCGACAGGCGTAAATCATCACAAAGTGTTCACAAAGTCTTTACACTGCTTGCTATTCTTCTTTTACTGCCCTGGAGCGAAGCAAAACATGTGAATTTATGGCATATAATCGAAGAAAAATAGCTTTTAGAAGTAGGTGAGGATAGATATTAGAATAATGAATATTGTTCCATGAAGTTAATAGCTAGCTTAAAATGTCTTTTTTTTTTCAAACACTTTAAACTTTTCCAAATCAAGGAGACGCGCTACACCAAGGACAAGATTGTGAGGACTCCGTACAGGCAAGTGTTTTAACCTTTTTCAAAATAATAATCCAATCAGCCCTTCTTCCTTACTGAGGACTTCCGGGGAGGGCCACTAAACATTCTTAATCTCCATCTAAGGGTGGGAACAAAACGGAGTTTTTATTTTTATTTTCTAATGACAGCAGTTAGTTTATTCTAACACTAATCTCTAGAAATATGAACTATTTTTACGTTTAATAAGTTCTCTACAACTTATCTCATCTACCATACTTCGACATGAAGTTTTGCAAGTTAGCGACTCAATATATCACCTTTAACCTTCTTACTAATATCATAGTCTTCGACATCACATTCCGGATGTCCACCAAACCTGCTAAATTGCTATGAACTATGGAGCAGTTTCTCTTGGGATGCCACTTGTCAAATCGAATAAAAGTACAGCGAACAAGTAGTCAGTACATATCTACCACGTCGCTTTCTTTGTATGACAACTAAAAATTGAAGAGGATCTTGTTGTAATTAACTTTTGAAGCGACAGCTTCTTAGCTAGAAAAGCCATATTCCTACCTAAAGGTCACATCTGGGAAAATTTCTATAACCCATCCAAAAGAATGATTGAAATAAGACTTATTCATTCATTACTGTTGCTACTACAAAATTAACAATGGATTATGGGATCGAAGGAAGAACTGCGATAAAATGACAGCTCGCAGTCTTTTTGATAGCTATGAATTTATATAACGTAGCATTCTCTTGCATGAATTACTTTCGTTGATTTCTTCCATAATTTTCAGAATTTGGCAAAGCGGAGATTCGATCAATTGTTGTATCATGCCGTACGGGTTGTTATCAGATGGATATTCGATAAATATCGTGAACGAATATTCCTTGGATATCCTTGAAAAGAAAAGAAAGTTTGAGTTTCTTCCTTATTTGTCCTGAAAACTTCCTAAAAGCTACAACTGAAGTCAGGGCTTAATCATTGAACTTGTAATCTAATTAGAGTGCGCCCATTGAAAATTTGGTGAACTTACATTATAATTGTTGGTGACATTCAATTATTATAGCACTGATAGCTCAAGAAGTTTTGAGTAAAGCAACTAGCTAAAGGACAATTATTAAGAGTGCGAAAGAGATCGGCTCAGAAAATTAATTTGTCGTAGTTTATATCAACATTATTCATAATTCGCAGACATTCGGTTCTTAAACATTTGGTAACTTTATTTTCCTCAAGACGACTATTTCTGTACGCGAAACAATTTACATATTAAAAGAGCAAGAAGATGGTTTTCAAATAATTGTCAGTATTTTTTACACGCATCAGTGATGAAAATTGGAAGATAGAACACCTATTCAAGTCAAAAACGACGTGTATTTCACATTTTCTGGAAAAAGGTCCTTAGCTAATGCAAAGGTTAACCGCTGCCATTGTTATGATTGTTCTACAGCTTTGGAAAACTATTAATTTAAGAATCCATGCAATCCAGCGCGGAAGACCCTGCGCGAAATTTTTGGATACTATTCCCTTTTACTTTTTTTTTGTCGTAGACAACAATGTGAGGACGGTGTTTGCGTTATAACCCAGGAGCTGTGTCAGAGCTCGATGTACGCTGTATGAAAAAAGATGATGTGACTGTCTTTGAAGCGAGAAATGCGCTTCGAATGATCTATTTATCAAGGAGAATTTTCGCATATGGTTACCGTAGTCTGTCGGGCACGGTCAGCGTACGGTAAGAGATTGATTGTTCAAAAGAATATAAACATTGCGTACAGCGATGTCGCACTTGACCTTATATGGCATGCTCGTTTGCAGAAATTCTCTCAAGGGAAACGGTGGGCCGCACCTTTTCCGCAGGGGAGAGGGTGAGTTAGGGGAGGGGGGGGGGTTGGTAGCGTCAGCCATGCCCGTCGAAACTGTCTTGAAAATATTCACTTTTTCAGCACATAAAATTCTAAAAAAACGCCAAAAATAGCTTGCAAATTAGAAAAAGTTTGAATATCACGAATCAACGGGAAATTTCTTTGCTCTCCTTTTTTAGCACCTTCACACTCCACTGCCTCCCTTCATTCTCTTGAACATTACGATTGTGCAACAGATTTATAGTATTTATCTGAGTATAACTCTTTTTGCGAGTGGAAGAAACTGATACGAAGCAAAACTTTAAATTCTCTCAATGTGAATAGGTCTATTCAGACAAAAAGAGTGACGTTAAATGTATCATGAAGAGCCGTTCAGTGAGGAATAGTTAGTACAAGTTTGTTTCGCAGATTAAATGGTAGAAATGCTTTCAAAAATGCTTGATGTTGACTCGGTCTCAGTCCGGAGGTCTCAAAGAAGATCAAAGTTCCGAAGCACGTTGTATTTGTGAGATTTGTCGCTGAACAAATCTCAAATCTATGTGCTGCATCGTTTCGCCTTATGTTGCATAAGAAACTGCAACAAAACCCTGCATTCAAGGTCTATGGGGAGTTCTTTGCCTTCCTCACCACCGTAAAAAGTACGGGCAGAATATCGGAAAAAGCTGCTAAGTACAGTGGCCGCTGATTCATATAGTGAAGGTGTGAAGCAGTGAACCAACTACAGCAAGGTTAGTTCTCGTGAAACATTCTGCTTCGTAACAATCGTTTTTATATTTACTGGAGAGCTGTTTCTTAAGCGGCTGCAAAATCTTGAACCATCCAAAGGCAGTACTCCGGCAAAATTTCGTTTTCCTCTTTTTCACCTTTTCGGAGCCTTTTCGCTCTAAGAAACCCATATCTGGGGTTTACAGCGCATGAAAATGGCGAAAACAAGCTCTTCCCGAAGCTTTCCGGGTCCGCTTTCGCTGGGAAATATGTGTAAGTGGGCGGAGTCCGAAACGAGGGAGGCGGGATGCGGAAGACTTCCGGTGTATTTTCACTGAATGCGGACCTGAAATGCTACGAAAAATGCTCAGTTTCGCCATTTCCATGCTCTGAGGCCATGTTATGGGTTCCTCATGGAGAGAAAGCTCCGAATAGGTGAAAAACTGAACAGCAAATTTTGCCCGAAAGCTGCCTTTTGAGCACATTCTAATAATCAACCATTTCAGACAAATTTCAGGAGAGACGACCTTTTCTGTTACGGTAACCTGCGAAAGCCCAGCATAGCTTACCGCAAGGCGTCGCAAATGTTGTCCCTTGATTTGCCAAAAAAGCTACAAAAATGCTTCGCTTGCGACTTGGTCCTAAATGGATATTCCTTGACAACCTTACGGTTCTGCTGGAAGTTTTACACACTATCTATCAACACATCACACCCTTGCAAAAGAAAGCTCTCCCGATTATTCAACTACACCACATCAGGTGTCCTTAAAAATTCTAAGATGCTCTAAAAAAGCGTATCTGTCCGCAATGGCTTCGGTTGCAGCTGAACTCGTTCAGAAAATAAAACCAGGATAAAAAGTATG